TCCCATCTGGCATCTGCTGAACCTTTTTCTCCAGGAATTCAAGAACTGGAAGGGGTCTACACTGTCCGTGGGGTCAAGCCCACGTCCTTTCCCATGCCCGTGGCCCTTCACGCTTGGATTCCATCTACACCACCCTCACCACCTTTAGTGTGAGGGTTTAAGCAACGGTGAAGGCTTAATGGCTTAAGCAAAGGTTCCACAACACAAGAGACCTTGGCAAGCAACCAGAGAACCCAGATGTCTGACGTTTCAGACAGAGATGACTTTATCTCCCATCTCCCCACAGAAGTCATGCTCAAGCACAGCTGGGGAAACTCTGGTCTCTTGCGAACTGCCCCTGCCTCACAGTCCTCAGTTCACTTTGGAACCCATAATGGAAACAGAAACATCTGGAATATAAAATGACAATAGAAGAATGTGAGAATGGCACAAGACGACATTCAGAAAAGAAATTCTGTGAGGGACTATGTCCATTGGAAAATTTTGGCCTATAATATGTTAAGAGTTGAGAATGATCATGTACAGTGAAAGATTTAAGACCAACTTTTGATGACCTCATTGAGTCCCTGCACACTCAGGGAACAGTCTCAAATGTAACACTAGAAGTTTTCCCCAGCATCATCATGATGCTGCAGTTAGCTGCATCTGTGAGAACAGTACACTAGTATTCTATAGTCATATTTTTTGTTTGTTTTGTTTTGTGGTCACATCCAACAGTGCTCAGGCTTAACACCTGCTTCTGATTAGGGTTTACCACTGTCAGGGCTCAGAGGGCCATACAGGGTGCTGGGGATTGAAGCTGGATCAGCTGCATGTAAGGCTCTACCTACTGTACTAGGTCTCTGGCCTCAGAGACCTATTTTTTGAGTCTTCCATATTACTTTCCCTCCTGATCCTACCTCAGAAACTGGCTAAAAGAAAGCACAGTTCTCACTGTACAGCTAAAGAACTAAAGAACTCTCGTAGAAAAATTCTAGAACTACTTAATTATATATAGGCTTCTCTATATCCCCAGTGTGATACTGGACCAGAGCTTGATTAGAAAAATTAAGTTGAGAAAAATGAAGGTTGCATTTTGTAAATTTCCCCCTGAAAGTGAGCTAGGCAAGGCAGAGGCAGACTGGATCAATAGAGGGTAATCACGTGATGGTGCTACCCTACTGCCCTCAAACATCTAACTTGGTTTGCACGGTAAGCCCAGCTCCTTGCTTGAAGGCTCCTGTGTTAATGGGGTGAGCTGATTCAGTATTTTCACTTAAAAAGGCTCTGCTGATTAACACACACCACACACTGTGCCAGTAATTAAAAATAAATATTAGAGTTAAAAATAAATGTTCAATTGTTTTGAAGATATTCTCTGAAAATATATGATAATCCCTATTTATCATAAGATAGTAACAGTTTAGAAAGGATACAAATTGGAAAGGTTGAAGGTATCTGAAATCACACATGAATCAAAGTTGGGAGAGGTTCCTTGTCACTGTCCCTCTTTAGGGATCATATCACTGGGTCTGTGAGCCCTCAAAGCAGGCAATACCACCTCCTGGGGGCACTGAAATGGTCAGGGGCCAATACTAGCCTAGGATGTAATAAATAGGATAGGGTGCTTCCTGTTTGCTTGCTTTGAGAAAGTATATTTCCAGGGAAGCACTGATACATACAAATATTTTAATGAAAAAACTTTTTTAACTAATTTATTTTTCCTGACTAGGTGGTGGTGGGGGGGTTAGGAGTCTCTGAGACTGGCTGACAGCACTCCATACTCTAGAAAATATAGCTCCTTACTTTTTGTACTTTTAATTTTGTAACTTTGGAGGGGTGCTAAACAGTGCCCAGGGATTGGGGTGGAGCATCTCCTCAGCCTCTGTGTTGAAAGAGCACGTTGAAGAATGTGACCATTTGGAAACAGCTGATATATATGGGGGAAGGCAGGATGAGGTCTCTGTGGAGACAGGCCTCCCCAGGTCCTTCCTAACACAGGAGAAGATCATGTGGAAGCCAAGAGAGAGAAGACGACGCTGCTCCAACCAACGAAAACACGTGCTGTTGGGCAACCTTCCAGCCAATGGAGAGCCTTCCTTAGGGCCCAGAAGGAGCCTCCTTGCTGACACCTTGACCTGGGACACGTGGCCTCCACCAACAGTCGTCTGATGTTTGGGCCATGAGGTCTATCGCACTTGGTGAGGGCAGCACAAGCAAGCTAAAACACGCCAATGGCGATGTTGCAGATGCGGGCCCTGCAGCCGCTGCCGCTCAGGACGAACCGCGGGGAGTGTCCATCTGCGGAGTTGGCGCTTGCCGCCCAGGTGCGGTTGTCCTACGCGGGAACTGAGCTGACTCGGGGCCAGAACTACATGTTTCCTAATCCTGTGCGTTCGTGAGCTGACAATCCTCACTGCAGCCATCAAGGTGCCAGGCTTCTCCCCGCTGCATGGACCTAGATGAGAGGCACAGGCAAGTGCAATAACTGAGCAGTATCCATAGCCTTGATATGTAACGGAACCCAGGCAGAGTCCCCGGAGTCCTGCTTCTGAAGTCTACACTCTGACTTCCAGGACTGCACTGCAAATTCTATAACAGAACAAAATAGAAACATCACCGGCCCTCAAGTATGGTGACACCCTCCAAAACTTTGAGATAAGAAATAAAGGACTCCACTTCCCAACTTTGGACCGAGCTCCTAGTCAAGGTCCTCAAATGCAAACATTCAGTTCCCAGTTCCTCTTAGGGGAGATTGGTTCTCGAGGCAAAGAGGGGAACGTTAGGGTTTAATATAATGTAATCTCTGTTATCAAAGTTATTTCCCTCCAATTTCTATCACAGAATAATCTTTAAAGATAAAAAAATCTAAATTTTTAACATTTCTTTTGAATTACATGTTACAATGACCTTAGCCACTATTCAAAAGCCTAAAATGGTTTCAAAGGAAATATCCCTTGTTGCTATTCTCCAAACAATAGAATCATCCCTAGCTGAGCTGCTTAAATCAATTGCTTAGTCCCTCTACCTAAATCAATTGCTTAGTCCCTCTGCTAAAAGCATGATAGCTTTGGATATGAAAATAACTTTTTTCCTAATTCCCTAGTTGCTGTTCCCTGATCAGTTAATAATCCTAGAAACACCTTCTCCAATCTGGAAGTTTCAGGGTTCAGAGTCATCAGCAACATATTAAAAATGAAGATATTTACAATTATTAAATATTCCACCTGGGCTAGAGCAATAGCACAGCGGTAGGGCGTTTGCCTTGCACGCAGCCAACATGGCCGACCCGAGTTCGATTTCTCCGCCCCTCTCCGAGAGCCCGTTAAGCTACTGAGAGAATCTCGCCCGCTCGGCAGAGCCTGGCAAGCTCCCCGTGAGGTATTCGATATGCCAAACACAGTAACAACAAAGTCTCCAATGGAGATGTTACTGGGCCCGCTCGAGCAAATCGATGAACAACGGGAGGGCCTTTACCTTTTTACCTTTAAGTATTCCACCCAAGAAGACAAGAGCACCTTTCCTTGAGATTGACAATGATCTCTCTCAATTTTTCAAAGAAAATACCAAAAATTACCTTTGGGTCTTTGATAAACAATGATTTTTGCATAAATGCCAATAGGGTAAAGTTTTTAAGAAGTTAACATTAACTTATAAACACCTGCATCACTGAAAAATTTACTGAATCTTCCTTAGACATGCATCACTAAACTTCACATTTGCTTGACTAAGTTTGAACTAAGTGCTAATGTTTCCACAATTTGGGGTAAAAGAAATTTGTCTCCTGAAACTAATGACAAATAAATGTTTATTTCAAAGGGACCAAAGGTAACTCACTCAACTTGAAAAATATCTGTAGAACACTTGTAGTAAATAATGTCAGTGTAAATACTTGCTGTTCAATGAAAACCTATAAAAATTATTTGAGATGCTTGACAATTTTTTCTTTCATACAAGCTTGTTTTAGGATTTTACTTTCAGGAACTTTTTCTCCAGGAATATAAGATTAAAACAAAACCTATTAAAGTTCTCTTCTGACTGGCAAAATGATCCAAAATTCAGTGATGGATGCTAGGATATCCTAGTTTCTTTCCAAAACAAAGTTACTTTGTATATTTATTTTGGGCTTACTTGTTATAAAAATTAGTATGTAACACACATAATATGATAACAAGTACATCTACTTTATGTAGGTAAAAATTTTATTTTGGACGCTATAGATACTATTATACAATAAAATATTACAGTATAACAAATCATCTATATTAAATAATAAAACAACGGTCCATTATTTAATAAATATAATATTAAAGAATTATATGATACAGTACAAAGATTATTACAAGATGCATTACAGGATAACCATAATAATTTAAAAACTATCTCCTTCTAGATTTTAAATAGTCTATTTCTAAATCATCCATGACTATGCCGTGGGAGAGAAAAAAAGCCTTGGAGAAAGATGCATGAACTGGGATCCAAATCAATGATGCTAACAGAATGATGTAAAATTGCATATGCTGTTAGGTCAGCCTCGATCTTTTTGCAGCCATCTTCCTCAGTAATAAAGAAATAACCTCTTCCATTGCACCTGATTTATTAAAACTACAATGTTATGTCAATGTATCCAAATGAAATTTAGTTCACATGAAGAAAAATGGTTCTGTTTCGTTGGATCTTATTTTCCAAGGACCATAAATACATGTACTCTCACTAGATAATTAAGAAAAATTCCTTCACGGACACATGGGTAGTGATCACTTCATCCTGAGAAGCAGTGCTGTTCACTTTCATCCTCTGAGGATAGATCTACATTTTGCTTTCAGCACTGACCTCCTTGAAGATATTTGCAAGTGTGTGTGTGTGGGGGGGGGGGGGGGCGGGGAGGGAGAATGATGGCTTCTGAAGGTCAAGGGTGCTGTGCCTTTGCTCAGGGTGACAAGTTCTCCTCCGTGAGAACCAGCAGAAAGCAGAGAAGCCAAAACACCCACCCGGCAACTCTTTCTCAAGCTTAGACTCACGCTTGGGCTTGGACGTTGCGGCTGTTCTCCAGTTTCCTGAGCTTCGCTCTGGCCTCCTTTAAGTCATTGAGGGGCTCTGCCTCCAGCAGCGTGGGCTGCAAAGGCTTGTACCGCTGCTGCAACACCTCAGTGATGTTGCGGAAGGGTCCCTGCAAGGACAGGAAGACATACACATTGGATTCTCATAGTGCTGGCCAGGGAATGGGACTAAACAGGATCCAGACTGATCTAGGCAGGGCAGCAAGCTGATATGATTATTTTTAAAATTAGTTTTCCTGGAATTAGAAAAAACATGCAATACAGATAAGATTGTCACTTAGCTGAAATTTTTTTAAGCCCATATCAGTATTAGAGGGGAAATGAGGCACTATCCCATTTAAAAGTGTTTACTTGCTAGAACTGGTCAACTGGTATGAAAGGTTGCTTGGTTTTATTTTCTTTCTGTTATTGAGAGCACATTTCTTCTAATATAATTTTTAATGAATTTTCTCTTTGTCCAAATATAAATGTATTAGCCCAGATTCTGGTCGTGTGTGTGTATGTGTGTGTGTTGGGGCATGTGGGGTGTTGGGGCAGGTGGCTACACCTGGCAGTGCTCAAGGCTCACCCTGGCTCTCTGAATGATATCAGGGATCATTCCTATTGGTGCTGCATGCAAGGCCAGAACCTTGACCCCTAAACCATCTCTCTGACTCTCTGAGTATAGCTTTTGTGAAGCTCTCCTAGAAATGGTGAGTAGCACAGCACTACTGTATGTTGTTGACTCAGCTTCCAATACTGGCCGCATATACCCTTAAGCACCACCAGGGTCACTCCTGAGCACTTCTGTAACCAGGAATCACCACTCCTGAGCACCCAAGCCCCTAGGCCCAATAACTAAAACAAAACAAGCCCTTAAGTTGTGTTGCTTCATAACTCAGATGGAATTCCCAACAAGCGCTGGCACAAACATTTAGCCAAGGACAGTACTCAGCTGCACCTCAGGAAAGTGATTTCTGAGATGGCTTAGCCACTAAATTAGTAGTTACTTATATTAGTGAGTAAGATCCACTAATGATTTCCTCAGTATCATCCTAACCAGACCAATCAGAGGAGGTGGGAGTTTGCTGGGCCACTGATTATATATTGTTTATTTTTCTTTTTCACTTTCCTTTTTACCCCCGTTGTGCATGAGACAGGGGTGCAGAGTGGACAGAGATTTCCAATCATGTCCCTTATCCTTAAAGATTTCTTCTTTAAATAGGTTATCACTAACAAGACACAGCTGGAGTTACTGCAAGCACTGAGTGAAGACTGTGGGGCTAATAAAAAGAAATGATTCACGCCTCATTTCTGTTCACTTATGTTTTACATTAATAGAAACCAATAATAGGAACCAGTTACCATAAAAGTCAGGGACCGTAAATAACACAAATGGCAAGTAAGTATCATCTAGTACTTTTCACAGCTGGACAGGAGGATTGCTATTTTGGAAAGTAGTTAATGGGTTTTACTGGAACTTTACTTTTTAAAGATACAGTAGCATGGTTCCAAGTTCACTTTTAAGAAATCAAATGGGTAGGGAGGGGAGTTTTTGCAAATAGTCTCAAATGTCTACTGTGGCCCAATTCTATGGTTTAAAGGTTAGGAGATGGGCTCGGAGAGATAGTAAAGTGGGTAAGGAGCTTGCCTTGTATGCATGAGTCATGGTTTGAATCCCTGAAACAACCCACCTCTCTTAAACTCAATATTTGATCCTGTTAATAAGGAAAAAGAACTCTAGACACTTTCTCTCCTATGTAAAAATGTTTCTCTGACAACAACTGCTGCTCCTTGCCCTATCACTCCACACACAGGAGTTAGTTTGTTAAGGATGAATGGCTCTTCGATAAACAAGACTAAGGTGAGGGGAGGATCATGCTTGGCACTGTATTTAGAATACACTAAACTCTCACAAATGGTTACCTGGGAGTTCTCTATTATTTTTACTATTTTTTTTAGCTTCAGGAGGAGTTTGGACATGTCATAGAATAAGTAGTAACATCATGAAATACAGTTCCCATGCCATGCATTAACTACATGGTCAACAACCATAAAATTCCACACCAGAAGAAGCTTCAGAGCACTTTGCTGCTATTTTTTAAAGTACATTATTTGAAATGAGATTCTGTAAGAGATGATTCTTCTCTCTAATCATGAACATGCAAGGAAACAAAGACCAGCAAGTAAAAGAACTGCAAGGCCGGGTGCTGGTGCAGCTCCCGTGAGGCAAGACCCACCTGGCACTTCTTTCTGTTGATGGGTGGCAGGACTTGGGAGCGTGGGAAGGAGCGGGTGCTCGTGCATGCCAGCCAGTCATTCAGGCCCAGCTTGGGCACCTCTTGACTCTTGGGGTGCGACAGGGGCTTTGCCTTCTGTAAGCGCAGCTCCCAGGGGTCTGGCTCACTTCGGAATGGAGAATTATAGACCCCTGGAATCTAGAAGAATGAGATACTGGTGATCATTCATACAAGGACAGGGAGGAGGTGTCCCATTCATTCATTTCACAAGTTTCAAGACTTTTCTGCATAACAACTCTAGTTCATAACTGGAGATGGAGCTCTGAGTTCTCTAAGGAGATTGTGCAGAAACACTTAACTCTTTCTGATCCAGGCTGACAAATCCAAAATGTTTCATGGTGGAGGGCTAGAGATGGTAAAAACTATCGAGGGATAGCTTCACTCTGCCTTCAATAGCCTGTCTTATAACACCGTATCCAAGGGGAAAAAACAGTAGAAACTCTTGTCATTTATTTTGCTTTCTAACCATACACTATATGTATGGAAATTTATTTTTCTTGGGAGGGTGTGGGTTTGGGCCAAATCCGACACTACCCAGGGCTTACTACTGGCTCTGGGCTCAAGGATCACTATGGATGATGCTTAGGGACCACATACAGAGCCATGGATCAAACCCAGGTCTGCCACTTTACCCCTTGAATTATCTCTTTGGACTGTTCATGGATATTTAATCATATCTATAAGTCAGGCATTCACCAAACTCAAATTGACAGTGCTGGAACCAATTTCAGTTTGAAAGTATGCCTGCAATAAATATTTGATTGATTGCTAGAATGATTATCTATTACCAACTAATGGCAGCTATTTAAGCTCCTTCAAGCAATAATCAAGCTAGATATGTAAATACATATCATATAATGTATATGGCATAGTGAGAGAGAGTCTATATACTATGTTATGAATCATTCACAGTAATGTCCCTTGTTGAATGAGCTGCACTTGTGTTTGTGTGTTTGGGGGTTTCACTGTTTAATGTCTCCTTGTCCTGGCTGCTGTGCCACTGACCTTGTGAAATGTTGTGGTGAAGTAGTCAGGACTTAGTCCTGGACCTGTTATGGAACAGAGGTCCAGCAGATAGAAGTATGACCACATCAAGGTCAAGTTAGCTATGATGAAATCTGTCTCTTGAAGATCCATGGTGTTTGAGCATATATGCTGCACAGAACCACACCTAGGGAAGTATGTTTTCTGTTCATGCAGATGCATACTCAGAAAAACCTTTCTGTTTATTTTCCATGTCAGGGATCTCAGTCAGGGTCTCCTGGGGCAAAGCGATAGAACAGTGGGTAGGATGCTTGTCTTGTACACAGTCAGCCCAGGTTCCATCCCTGTGACCCCATATGGTCCCCCAAGCCCACCAGAGTAATCCCTGAGCACAGACCAGGAGTAAGCCCTGAGAACCACCACGTGTGGCCCGAAAACAAAACCAAACCATGTCAGGACCTCTTAGAAGAGGCTCCTCCCACTAAGTGACATTCCCCCACCAGGAAAAGCAACCTTTGAAAGGATGTGTGTCTTTTGATTGCTCCGTAGACAGTCTGGACTCATGGATCAATGAAGCCAATGAGATGGATTTTTCCCCCTTAAAAATGAATTTTCCTTATTCCTCTCTTTCTCTTACTCTCTCCCTCTCTCTCCTCCTCCTCTCTCTCTTTGCTTTCTCGGTCTCTGTCTCTCTCTCTGCTCTGTCTCTTTGTCTCTGTCTCTCTCTCTCAAGTGCCTGCCATACAGACAGGCTTGGGAAAGAGTGGCAGAAGGGAAACTGGGGACATTGGTGGTGAGAAATGTACACTGGTGGAATGTTGAGTGTTGGAACACTGAAAGGGACCATGAACAGCTTTGCAACTCTGTATCTCACAGTGATTCAATAAAATAAAATAAACTTCTCTCCCCACTGCTCTCCTGGCCATACACACTTCCTGTGGATATACTGGCCTTTCAGCAGTTTCAAAGTAGTTACTGGTAGTTACTGGTTTTGGCATATCGAATACACAGCGGATAGCTTGCCAGGCTCTTCCGTGCGGGCGGAATACTCTCGGTAGCTTGCCAGTCTTTCCGAGAGGTATAGTTTCAAAGTATCAGGATTAAACTGGATAGTTTTCTTTGAAGAAACTATTTGAAAATATTTTGTATTTGCAGCCTCACACTTCACTGTTGTTTAATGCCCACATAGATGAGATTCTGTATCTAATTCTTAACATTCCCTTCAAAACCAGACTAACTCAGTTTCTATGAAACTTACCTCTTTCATAGAGCCAAAGATTGCACCCACTTATGCTTCTTTTTCATTTCAGACTCTTCTTTACTGGTCACATTACATTATAAAGGCCTTCAGGTCTCAGGTATACTTCCCCACCTGCAGTTCACCCGTAAATTCACACCTGAAAGTCCAATCCCAACCTCACTGATCCCTTCTTTCAATTCACCCATCTTCACTGATCTGATCTGATAGACTAGAAGCTTGGTCTTGTTTTATTTAGTCCTATCGTTTTATCTTTAGTAACAGGTCAGTTTCCATTTGCTTTCGAACCTGTGATTTAGAACTAAATGATATACTTGTGTGATCCCCAGCTCAGTGCTCTTGTATTATTACTAGGGAATGGATTTTAGACAATAAGGTGAGGTTACTACAAATACGCTTAAAGTATTTTTGAGCCTGCTCTGATATGATATTTCTCCCAGTACAATTTATAAGTAAAAGCAGACTTAAAAACATTAATGGCCATCATTCACCATTTTCAGTGTCATGTTAACATATTATCATTCTAATGCCAAATAGAACATGGTGAATAAACTGTTTAAATGATGTTGCTAAAAGAAAATGTACATAAATATGTTTATATATATGCACATATATATGTATGTATATTCTCAGTATCTTTTAGTGGACAGTCATTTTTAAATGAATGGTCATTTTTCAGAAGATTTCAAGGGCTATTTTCTAAGATAAGAATGTTTTAATTGTAATGAGAAAAACAATAACTATTATAAACACCAATCGGGCATAATATAGCCTAAGAGCTAGGAGAAAATACCATTCAGTTTTGCGAGTATATTTATTAACTGAAGTGTATTAGTTTAACATTTCCCACAACTTTACAGGTTGAAGGAGTAAAATACATACAAATGAACTAGATTATAATTTTCATGTGAAAATATCTGGCTCCCTGAGAAACTGCTACCAGCTCTGAGCATTAGCCCCACTAGAAATCTTCTTTGATCTCACTCCCCATTTGCATGCACGTGTATACATAGGCTAGATGGGAAATGCAAATAGATCAGTAGATATGATAGCTTTCTTAAATTATATTTTGTAACCTATATGAATACTTCCTCATGTGTATTCTCTTTGCAATTTAAATCAAATATAGATAGAAAATATATTTTAATTGAATTTAAAGTGTATCATTTAAAATCTTCAAGGAGCCAGGATTTTAGAAATTAAGTTAATACATTTGCTGACTTACATCCATGGAAAACAGTTCAGCTCTCCCTCAATCCCTACTGCCAGCACCTGCCCTATTGATTTATATAGAGACAGGGCTCGCCTCATCAGAGTGCCTTTCTGTATATAAAACAGCCTTAACCTCCAATTTTCTCATGGCCATATTCCATAATTTGTAAGCCACTTATGAATAATGGTCAGTTGTTGATATTTTAAAATATTGCTACGAGTCATAAAGACCACGGGTACCTTCAGGGACTCTGGGGTGCTTTTCAGTTTTCACATTTTTCACAACTGAGCAGGGCTATGCTGAGCTCACTTTGGGGACTTCATTCTCAGCAATAATTTTCTAGAGTGACCAATACTATGGGGAAATCTGTGATAACTGTTTAAAAAATAATAATAAAGAAAAGAGCCTACAACTGAGTTATTTTCAGTACTGTCATGCTAACATTCAACTCAATAAGACCGAGGAAATCTCAGGAGAGAACTCTGCTAATAGCTTCCGACTGACCCCCTTGGAGGAGGCTTGGGGCTGACGGGTCCAATGGTGAAGACAAGAAATGAGACGTGAGTTTTTAGAGGCTGTGATTCTGACTCTTCAAACAGCATGAGGGAGAAAGCAATGAGTTACATAATACATTTTCCCCTTGAGTTCCCCCCACAGACCCTCCATCTTGAGAACTCAAGTATGACCCAGAATATTAATTTTGTCAGACTGTGCAAGGAGCAAATGTACCAAGTGTGACCCACTCACCCTGGCACCACATCCACATTCTGCACCATTACTGAAAGTCGATGTTCTCCTTGCCTTTTGCCTCAGTTTGTATACTCAAATGTAAATTCTAAGGGGAAAATTACTTTAAAAGTGTGACTGGCTCTTCCTTTTTGTCCCCCAAGCTGAGCTGGTCTTCTCCCCACCCAGGTCAGTTTATCAGCTGCTTCTCGAACCTGGGACTTGGATTTCTCCCTGTAGGCGTCCTCTCGGACGTTTGGAGACAACGCAGCTCTGAGCCTCTGCCTCTTCCTTTTTTTTTTTTTTTTGTAGGAGTACTGCTATTTATTCAGCCACTGATTAGCTGATTGAATTGGGCATGAACTCCACCTTAATTTTTTTTAAATTTTTATATTTATTTATTGAATCACTGTGGGAAAAGTTACTAAGCGTTCAGGTTTAAGTCTCGGTCATACAATGATCAAACACCTTTCCCTTCACTAGTACTCATTTTTCACCACCAAGAACCCCAGTATACCTCCCCTCCCACCCCTCCAAATGCCTGTGAGGCAGATGATTTCTACTTAACTCTTCTCTACATTGATTACAATCATTATTTCGACAAAAGATGCTCCATTATTGTTCAGACTTTCCCCCCAAACAATCAGAATTGCTGAAAAGGCATTGTGAAATATTTTGTTTTCTATAGCTGGTTATGAGAATCATATAATGTCACGCGGCCACGATTTTGGATTTCTGCAAAGAGCCAGATAATTAAGAGATTGGTTTCTGTGTGTCTGGTGTTATGGCCGTGCCAGACAGACGCTCATGGTGGGTAACTGGTGACCTTGGTAGGGCGTGAAGGACGTGCTGGTACCACCCCCCTTCCCATGAGACTGCAGTTGCCCCATCACTGCCGGCTTGTACCTGGCTTTCCTATAAGCTCTGAGGCGGCGACCACCTTGCTGCCAGGGAGTA